CCTATTGTTTATTCACTGCATCATTTTGCTTTTGTTGTTTAAAAACCTGGATTAATCGTCTTGATTTCATTGATGCCATCTTTATTTCTTTTGATCTGTTTTTACTTTTTTGTTAAAAAAATAATTTGGTTTTGATCTGTTCCTGTTGTTTAGCTGTTTCAAGTTCTATGGGGTGAGCGTGCTGAGTACTAAATGTGAAATTGCCACTTTTTCCCCACAGGCGCCTCTAGTATTACTCTCTTGTTGTTAATTGAAGGAGGTAAGTGGAAAGAGATGTTTAGAAGTTTTAACGAGTTGTGCTTTTGCTCAGTAGCTTATCTTTTTTTAATTCTTTGTCTTTTCAGGAGTTTTATGAATACACAGAAATCTTGTGGAGGGATAAAGGAGTACAAACCTGTTTTGAGAGATCCAATGAGTACCAGCTCATTGATTGTGCACAGTAGTGAGTATTGCATTGTGTTTGCTGTTGTCATTTTGAACGAATATACTACATCACAGCTTTGGTGTGGTGTGCTCCTTCTTTCCTGTCAAACTTCTGTTGTCCTGATCTCTCCTCCTTTTTTGTGTTTGTTATTCTCTTGTAACACCTCTAATCTTCGGCACTTATATGACCATATTATTGTGTTGCAAGTGCTGTAAAACTTACTAAAACTTAAACTTCTCTGTTTGTCAAGAAACGAACCTGCTTCCCTTCTGTCTTCATCAAGCGTCCAGATTGGTGGAAGGACCTCTTGTATTGTTTGCATTCTTTAAAAAATTTTTGGGAAAGAATTCAGTGTCTGTGGTGTAATATTTAAATTCTTTGTCATTGTATGCAAAAGACCTGGGCTCAATTCTGTCTGCTGGAATGTTGTATCCCACTCATCCCAGGTTGATCCTGACAGGCAGGGTTGAAGTAGCCCATCGGGTAAATCATTTTAAATGTGCTGATTGGGGTGTGAAAACATAAGCCATCAATTATATGGATGGTTGGTGGGTGCTGTGATGTGGTTGGTTTGCTCTTTCTTTCCAATCTACCATCTATTTTCCTTTTCTTCTCCTTTTCTTTGTATGATATTCTTTAGTTATTAGTATCACCTATCTTTGGCACTTATATGACCTACTGTTTATGTTGCAAGTGCTGCAAAACTTGTACTAAAACTAAAACTACTCATCATTTACCATTTTCCTGTGTTGATCGTATTGTCTCCCATGCTTTGATTGTTTATAAAAGCACTAGGCTGTCAGTGATCATTGTTCAAGGAACTATTGATTTGTCAAGTTTGGGCTAGCTGGAAAGTAAAAAAAAAAAACCAAACCCCCAGCTCAGAGGAATCTTGAGAAATCATATGATTTTGACGTGCCTCTTCTGTTGTTGTTGTTTTTTAAACTTCAGAGGTTTCTGTGTTTTGAACCTTGTTTTTTTCTGATTTTTTGGGGTGTTTGGAAGATACCAGTGATAGGTTTTGCTACTTTTCTTTCCGGCTGTAGTCTCTGTTTATTTGTCTTTTTTCCCAGCATGAGGTGACTCATTCTGTTGCTCTACTTCTCTTTCATCAAACTAACAAACAAACATGATTTCTTTCACGTACATTTGTTTCATAGGTTTGCTCTTGTTTTGGTACATTCATTTTATAATGTTGAAAGTGAAGTCTTTACTTTCAATGCAGTTTTAAGGCTGGAGTTTTGACCGACGAATATTGTATTCTGCTGATCCTAATCATATTTTCTTATGTAATTTTTGTCCTTTGTCTGTCTTACTTTTCCCCCGCACTAGATTTAAATGAGTATTATTGTGTCGATGGATTTCTCCCTATTCAAACAAACAATCGAACAGCAAACCTTATGAAAGACAGTTTTTTTTGTTCTCGTGCTTCTCAAGTGCTGAGTGTTATTTCCTTTCTTCAAAAGCTTAAATACATTGTTCTCTGCAAAATGGTGGGAAAAACATTATTGTCTGTTTGTAACTTTCTAGCTGCGTGGGGGGAACCATCAGTCTCGTCCCCATTCATCATGTACATGTTATTGAAAGGAAATGCTCCTTCATTCCTTAAAAAAAAAAATCTGTCGTCTTCCTTATCTTTCCTCCGTTTTTTCTGTGTATGTAACAACACCTCTAATCTTCAGCACTTATATGATCTATATCTATTTCTGTGTATTTCGAGTGACGTAAAACCTTTTTTCAAAACTAAAACTATTCTCGTACTTGATGGTATTGAGGTGAGGTGGATTGTATTGTAAATACATTCCCCTGATTTTTATCTCTGTATGTGTGATGGAGGTTTTTTGTTGTTGGGGG